CATGCTTTTACTTCTAGTCTTATTCTTTACCACATTAGATGCCATACTAGAGAGGATCAGTTTGACTACAAGTAACAGGCCAAAAAAGTCTAAAGGTAACTAAGGGTTGGTACAAATGTTGCTTAGTGTCACTGGTGTCACAAAAGACTAGCCTTCTCTATTTCTTCTACCCCATATTGCTTTTGTCCTTATGGTCACATCATGGCTGCTATAACTCCACGAACTGCACTCACATTCCAGGTAGAAAGAAGGATGTAACAGAAAAGCAGAGGTGACAACTGTCTCAGAAGGTAAAACCTTTCCAGAAATCCTCAGCAGGCTTTTGCTTACATCTTAAGAAAGAGAGTTCATTTGCTGGTTTGTTTTTTAACTGAGGGCACTAACACTCTAAACGAGAGAATGGAGATTGGGTGGACAATGAACACTGTCTCAAGCAGCCACTTCTCAAGTTCTCATTCAATAATTCTTGTCATGGTATCTTCTTTTTTGGTCGAGGGCATGAAAACTTTGTAAATCACAAAGAACTACAAACCTACAACTAAATAAATTAGATGTTATAACTTTAGTTTCATAAGCTTAAATTGTCAACATATATAGCAAAATGAGTACATTTTAAATACAACTGAAAACGATTATCCATCTACAAAATATCTGATATATCTGCAATATCTATAAAATAATCTGAAAGGGTTCATTTATGTATTTATCTGTCCATTGCTTAAGTTACTAGTTATAATATTTCACTTATCTAAGACCATATTATGACAATCTTAACCATCTAAAACACAACTAAAAAAACAGAATGGAAGTAGAAATGTTCAGTAAGTCAAACCAACAAATGTATTGCAATTAACATTTATTGGTCAATTTAATAAATATAATCTTCATGTATAGAATTTTTAAAGTGTAGTAATAGAAGCAAAAGCAAAATGCTAAGAGAATATAAAGAAAGAAATGATTCAATCTAACCTAGAGAAGTGCGGGGAGTACAAGTCAGGGAACATGCTTTTTGGCAGGTGTGGTACTGGAACCTGAAGGCTGATCTGATAAGGAGTGTGACTGCTGGAGAAGGAGGGAAAAACTCGCCATCCAGATGGAGCAGCACATTTGGGAAGCAGCAAGTATTCTGATGTAGCTGGCACAGAGGGTGCGTGGAGAGATTTAGTGATACAGCCAGAAATATCGCATAGGTTAAGCCCAAATTCTAGGTTTTATGGCAAATTGTTTCAGAAAGCCATTTCACACAGCAGTAGAAGGGTGGCACACAGAGTTAAATGATCAGGCTTCTTCATGCATCCTCCCCCATCACCGTAAGAGGATTCTTCATGTTTGCGCACCTTCTTCACCTATTTTCTTGCCGTACGTAACAATTTGCAGTTTCCCAACACTTTGTGCCCTCTCTTACCTTCGTGACTCTTCCTTCAGGATGCTCACACAAACTCTCTTTTTCCCTACGCTAGCTAGCCTTTATGCATGCCTTCAGACTTGGCTCAACTGACAGCATCAGTCACCTCATCGAACAATTTAATTCCTTCAGTCCTCTCATCACCAAATGAGGGAAAGTTAAGAGGGTCAGTTAAGGACCTCCCCGCTCGAGGTTCCATAACCTTGTCTATTACAACCCCTGTCATAACACTGTAATCACTGACTTTCGTCTCTGACCACTTGCATCTGAGCTCCTTGAGGATACATCTCTACACCCTTGCATCTAAGATGTGGCAAGTATTCAATATGTGTTTATTGAATAAAATGAATGGGGAGGCTACTGTCATAATCTAAAGGAAAAGTATGAAGGAATGAACATGGGAATGAAAAGGTCAGGACAGATACCAAAGCTCGTATGTCTTAATAACAAGAGAGACCCTTCAAGGCCCTTATTCAAAATCTACTCTTACTTTAGAATTAATTTTAATAACCTTGGTCATCAGGTTCTCTAACCTACAAAAAGTGCAAAATTAAGAATTTGAATTATTAAGAAAAATTCAATCATATTTAGCACACTTTTGTTTAACAAGATAGAGAAACATGCACTGTTTTTCAAAAGTTTTTTAATTCAAATAAACATGAGGCTTTTAAAGAGAAAACCAGGATCTTTAGTAATACACAGCTCTTAGGCTTACACTTACACCTCATACACATCTGAGGAGATGGTGTGGCTTTACTTTTCAGTTGGCTCAATGGTGTCTCACCTTGCCAATCTAGTGAAGCTTGGCCCTAGAGATGCAGGCCAATGAGGACATTTGAAGGGAAAACTGTGAAAGTTTGTTTTTCCAATTTGCATAGTTATCACTCATCCCATCCTTTTCCCTGGTCCACCAGGTTACATTCTCTTAACTCTGCCCATGACAGCCTCATGTCAAAACACACTAACCCACTAGACTATGTTGCCTAACTACACAAACACTTATTAGACAAGACTGTCTTAACAAACGCATGTTACACCATTCATCTATTCTTCCATTCATTTTTATAATTTCCCTCCCTCCCCAAAATATATATATATATATTTTTTTTTTTTTGAGACAAAGTTTCACTCTTGTTGCCCAGGCTGAAATACAACGGTGCAATCTCAGCTCATGGCAACCTCTGCCTCCCGGGTTCAAGCGATTCTCCTGCCTCAGCCTCCCAAGTAGCTGGGATTACAGGCATGCACCACCACACCTGGCTAATTTTGTATTTTTTTTAGTAGAGACATGGTTTCTTCATGTTGGTCAGGCTGGTCTCGAACTCCCGACCTCAGGTGATCTGCCCACCTTAGCCTCCCAAAGTGCTGGGATTACAGGTATGAGCCACCGCACCTGGCCCCCAAAATAATTTTTAACCATATCCTTGACTCTTACTTAGCATAAGTTTGTTTCTATCTCATACCAAGGAAAACTATTTGATAAAAACTTCTCTCAAACCATTTATCGTAATTTTATCCCAAACTTTGATACTTCTAAGATAATTTTCTCTTCACAAATAAATTTCATACTATTTATAATATTAATATGAATACAATCCTTAGAAATGCCGCATTCTCTCTACATCCATCCAAATTCATACTATATTTTAAAGAACTGATTAAAAAAAAAAACTCTCTTCTTAGGAGTCAGTGTTTTATATTTGTCTGAACGGCTTTGTTTTTTTCAAGGAGTCTGTCAATATGAAAAATTGGTAAAATGTAACAATATTCTGCAAAAGGATAAAATAGTAAATTGGTTAATGATTAAGAACACTATAAGAAGAGGTTTGAAAAAGTTTCTAAGAAAAAAATGTATGTATATACTTCCTGCTTGTCACAAAAAAAAATTATGTCTGAAAAATTTTAAACAAAAGTCTGAGAACAAAAGCCATTCTACTATTTTAATATACTGCTACTACTACTTTAATATAAGATATAAGTATCTTATTTAATATATAAGTATCTTTTGGTAGTATTTTTTATATCTCATGTTTCCTGTAATATATGAGATATATCTATATATGTGCATTTGAAAAGGCACAAAAATTATTATTCTTTTCCCTGGGTATATTCCAAGTAACTGTGATTGTGAATGAAAACAAAAACTTTAATTTCCAATAAAAAATTCTGACTGTAAAGGTCAAACTACATAAATCTAACATTTTCAAACAGATGGGATTAAATTAACTAATTTATATTCTCCTGAAATAGTAAAAGCAGTATTGTCTTTAGATACCTAATTGTTAGAATCCTGCTACTGAGAGACGGGAATGTAGTTTTCTATTTCAGAAAGGGAGCAGAAATAAAGTAGAAAGCAAGAGGTAAATAACTGTAAAGTATCCTAAATAATACTGCCACATTTTTAAAGGTAAATGACAACAGTCTCTCTTTTTGAGATGCATATCTGTTCAATCATTAAATATCCCATTCTTCCACAAAATGAAAAAAAAAAAAAAAAGACGATGCTAAGATTTCTTTCAGCTCTAATATTCTTTATATGGTTGACTATTTTATGTATCACAATTCATACTATCACGCTAAATCATTTTACATAAGACTTATGGAATCTCATAAGCTTCACTTTAAAACAGATTATATCACATTAAAGAAAAAATATAAAATAATCTACATTTTATATCATCTGAGTTATATGTACACTCTTCAAATCATATAAAGATAGAATGCTTAATACATGTGAATGCTGACATGTGAAAAGGCTGATGTATCAATTTACCAACTGATTTTAAACCATAATTTAGTGAAACTGCCAATATAATCAACTGAGTTGATGGCCTGTGATTTTTGAAAATCAATTCCTAATTATCATTTTAGAAATGTACTATTTTAAATGCTTAAAAAGTAAAATATACAAGTCTATCTTTAAAGATGTATCTACATTAGCTCATTTAAGATATATGTTAGACATGCAATTTTAAAATGTTTTCAAAAATGTATTTCAGCACATTCTAGACACATTCTATGAACATAAGACTGTTTTTAATATAAGTAACACTGATTAAACATATAATCACAAGCAGAATTATTTACTAAAAAAGGCAATAAAATCTACTATTCACTGGCTAAATTCATATTTATAACTATTATATTATCAGCTATTCACACAAATAAAAATCATGTAGTTCTTATGTTCTGCCATAGGCAGAATCCTAGCTTGTTCTCTTCTGATATCTGCTATGAATATTTATATTTTAAAATTAAAAGAAATGAGGATTACAAAAATTATTCTTCAACCTCCAAAATACATAATGCAAGAGGATCTTTACAATGTGAAAAGTACTATTACAGCAGCAATGCAATAACCTCTCCTTACTCCCTGTAATAATATGCCCCTAATTTTTGTTCAAAAACAGTAATAATGAGGCATGTTAACAATTATGCCATTACCTGATCCTTTTCAGATACCATAATATATCAGAAATGCAAAAGCATACACAGAAACTCAAAACCCCTTTTTATAGCACATCCTTAGGTCGATACTTAGCAAAATCTGAGTGCCTTGAAAGTGCTTGATTGTTCATTCTGCTAATGATCCTACCTTCCTTCACTGTGGCTGCTTTTTGCCTTGATGGTGTCACCAGCTCCTTTACAATCTGCAAGACTTGAATCATTGCTAGTTAACAAGCCAAAGACTCCAGCTGCTTCCTCTAGAAATCCAACAGGTTTCATCACCAGAAGCTCATTTCTGCTTTCAGAAAGCTCAAGCACGAACACAGTTGAACTTCAGAGAAATGAATGCTTTGCCTAGCTATCCACGAAGGCTCTGAAGCAGTTAATAAGAAACAACGAAAGGATAGGCTGTATCTTCTTGAAATGATGGATTCAAAGTGATTTCAGCACATGTGAAAGCCCCATCCTCAAAGTCCAAAATGTATTACTATGCACAGCCTTAACTAGTTATAAACAAAACAAAACAAAACAAAATGTGGGTAATCTTCCGTAAATCACTAAGCAAAGTGAAAACATTTTCTCACAAAAGCCATGACAGAAAAAATAAAGTGCTCTGCTATAAATTCTCACACAGTGCATCACAGATGCTATGTGCAAGTTTTTAAGTAGTCAACCAAAATACCCTGCACTGTCGAAAGCCTTAATACTTTTTTCCAATTTCTCAAAAACCTTATATTTGAAACAGAAAATAAAATGTGGATAAAAATAAAATCTATCTTGCTAACTCTAAGCTCCCAGATTTGCATAAAAGATATGGTGCCTCAAAAATATCCTATAAATTCCTTATCCTCCTCCTCACATATACACCTCTGACATCCCAGTCCATGAATAGAAGTCTAAATTCACATGCATACTAGAAATTCCCATAAGAGTCTGTAAATTCAATGGTCTCAACATCAAGCGGCATGGACCAGAAAATTTCAAAACAAGTATAATCACTAATCCTTCCATATGATTTTTAACAGCCAAGTTTTAACAAATGATGAATTAATATTTAATACCTTCATTATAAGTTCTATTTATCCCATAGCAGCCCTTCTCAAAGTAAACCTACAGAGTTAACTAAATGAGAAAAATGATATTCAGGTGAACGTGCCTAAATGCTATGTTTATTAAACTGATTCTCCACCAGCAATTTGTTCCTCTTCCTGTACTGCCAATTTTCCTCTCCTATTTTTCTTTCCTTCCCATGAATTATTTTTACATTTTTAACATACCATAAAATATTAGATCCCAGAGTAAGTCAGAGGCAGTTCCTTCACCTTCAGACAGTTAAAGGCTTATTTGTTATTTTCCCATTTTTCAGCTGGACAACTGAGCACAGTGAATCAACCAAGGTTACAAGAAAACTGATCCAAAACTCAGCCTTCTGCTTTCTCTCCAGCAAGTGCCCTCTGTACAAATGTCTAGTTTTAAAATTCAAGGTGAAGTTTTCAGCTCTTCAGACACAACGTGCTACAACATATACATATATATCACCCATAATGTATGCTCCATATGGGTGTTAGGTTCAGAAATCAGTGCTCCAAGCCACGACAGTGAAATACTTGGAAAGGGAGGACAAAAAAGGACCACTCTCCTAATTCCCTATCATCTTTAAAGAACATGTTTGTACTCACAACCTAAATCGAAGTAAGAGTTCAGATGGGTCAAAGACCAAGTTTTAAACCTCAAGCCAAAACTGTGATCCTGAATGAATCCCTCTGAAGATGTAAATTTAAACAAATAAAGGCGAAAATCTAACTCCTCAATTCAAGTTTCCCCAATTCTTTCTGTGCCTCATCCCATTTCCTAGGGCAGTTTGGGACACGTAGTAAGTGTTAAGTATCTGCTGCCTTTGTTTTCCAATCACGTTTCCAGCTCTTGAGAAATTACTTCCTCTCTTCTGGAGAAGACCTTCGGAAGGTACTGTTTTGACAGGTAACTTTCCACTAGCTTTCCTCTCTCCCAGTCTCTCCTTCTGCAAGGAAGGAGGTATGCAGGACAACTATTTCCTCCATACCTGGTCAAGGAAGAGAGGCATATCTAAATTCATGTCTCATAAATTTCAATCATCATCTTCCTTATCTCACTGGTATTATCACTGGTTTTGAAAATGAAAACCACATAGCAATCTCTTTGAACACACTGGTTCACTACCGTCAATGCTTAGCTTCTGCTAAGCAATCAATAGCTTTTTCTTGTTTCTTTCCTCATTTTTCATCACACATTACATTAGTAAAAATATTTGATCACATACTCTGATATATATAACTGAGCTGAACTCTTTAAAATGCCAAAGTCATAGAAGACAAAGACAGACTGAGGAAATGTTACAGGTTAGAGGACGGTCGAGTCAGGATAACAAAATGCAACACAGGATCCCAGATTACATAGTGGCCAAAAAGGGTTGAGGGGAAATATGGGACATTTTGGGAGAAGTGGTGAAATATGAACATAGTCTATAGATTTATCAGTTAATTTCCTGACTATGACCACTGCACTGTAGTTATGTAACAGAACATTTTGGATTTTAGGATATATACTCTAAAATAGTTAAGGGTAAATACTTCAACTCACTAACACTTCAGAAAAAAAAAAAAAAAGGCAATAATATTAACACAGGATGAGAAAACAAATGTCATAAAATGTTAACACTGGGGAAATCCAGGTAAAAGAATATGAGAATTGTCTATGCTATTCTTGCAACATTTTCCTAAGTCGGAAATTATTTCAAAATAAAAAATGAGATCCTGACTCACTCACTCTATGGAATGTATCAATCCAAAAGAGACACGGTGGAGCTGTGGGATAACATAGGTGGCTCTTCTCACTTCAACATATCCCATTGGTCAATTTCCTCCATGCCATGATCTGAATGTCTAAGTTCCCCCAAAATCCTAACCCCCAAGGTGATGGTATCACGAAGCAGGGCCTTTGAGAGTTGATTAAATCATAGGGGCACAGCTTTCATTAATGGGCTTAGTGCCCTTACAAGACATAATCCCAGAGAGCTGCCCTGCCTTTCCACCACGTGAGGAGAAGCCAGAAGGCGCCATCTATGAACCAGAAAGCAGGCCCCCAACACACATTAAATCTGCCAGTGCCTTGATCTTGGACTTGCCAGCCTCCAGAACTGTAAAAAATAAATTTCTATTGTTTGTAAGCTATCCAGCTTATGATATTTCGTTAGAGCAGCCCAAATAGAATAACACAAGTGCTACATCCCATTGGTTAATTCGACTGTAACTTCATAATAAGTCCTGATATCTGACAGAAAAAAAAATCCTCCCTCTCTGATATTATTTGGAAATGTCCTAACTACTTTTGGCTCTTTACCTTTCCATATAAAATTCTTTCCATATAAAATTTAAAACCATCTATTAAGTTCCCTGGTAAGCCTGACTGCGATACAATTTGAATTTCATTGGTCTATATGTTAACTAGGGAGAAATGATATTTTTCTGATACAAAGTTTTCCTGTACAAAAACATGGTATATTTCTCTATTTCTAGGTCCTCCTAATATCCTTTTTTAAAACTATATGATTTTCCCTTAGCATTCTTTTTTGTTTTCTTTTTGAGATGAAGTCTCGCTCTGTCGCCCAGGCTGGAGTACAGTGGCGCGATCTCAGCTCACTGCAAGCTCCGCCTCCCGGGTTCACGCCCTTCTCCTGCCTCAGCCTCCCAAATAGCTGGGACTACCGGCGCCTGCCACCATGCCAGGCTGATTTTTTTGTATTTTTAGTAGAGACAGGGTTTCACCATGTTAGTCAGGATGGTCTCGATCTCCTGACCTCGTGATCCACCCACCTCGGCCTCCCAAAGTGCTGGGATTACAGGCGTAAACCACCACGCCCAACTTAGAATTCTTACATATCTTTCATTAGATTTATTTCTATTTTTTCTGATACTACTGAAAACGGAGTCTCTTAATTACTTTTCACTGCTGATACATAAGCATGCAACTAACTTCTGTACATTAGTTGTTTTTTTGTTTGTTTTGCGGGGGGACAGAGTCTCCCTCTGTCAGCCAAGCTGGAGTGCAATGGCACGATCTCAGCTCACTGCAACCTCTGCCTCCTGGGTTCAAGCAATTATCCTGCCTCAGCCTCTCGAGTAGCTGGGATTACAGGTGCCTTGCCACCACACCTAATCTTTGTATTTTTAGTAAAGACAGGGTTTCACCATGTTGGTTGGTCAGGCTGGTCTCAAAACTCCTGACCTCAGGTGATCCACCAGCCTCGGCCCCCCAAATTACTGGGATTACAGGTGTGAGTCACCAAGTCAAAGTGCTGAGGTTACAGGCGTGAGCCACCGTGCCTGGCCTTGTACCTTAGTACCTGTAGCTACACTGTTAACATCTTCCTTATTTCTAACAATATATCTGTAAATTCTTCTGGTTTTCTCTACCTAATAATAATATCACTTGTATTTTTTTTTTCTTTTTTCTTTTCTGTCGCCCAGGCTGGAGTGCTGTGGCACAATCCTCACTGCAATCTCTGCCTCCCAGGCTCAAGTGATCCTCCCACCTCAGCCTCCCAAGTAGCTGGGACCACCAGCTACTCAGGGTGTGCCACCATGCACAGCTAATTTTTTATATTCTTTATAGACACAGGGTTTCACTATGTTGCTGAGGCTGGTCTCAAACTCCTGAGCTCAAGCAATCCACCCACCTTAGCCTCCCCAAGTGCTGGGATTATAAGCATGAGCCACCATACCCAACCTCATCTGAAATGAACACTTCATTTCCTCCTTCCAATCCTTATACTTCTAATTCATTTTTCTTGTTTTACTGCACTGGCTAAGACCATCAATACAATATTTAATAGAAGTGGTTCTAACCAGCATACTTTTCTACTTTTTTAACTTTAAAGGGATGCTTTCAACATTTTCCAATTTAAGATGATGCTTGCTTTAAGCCTTTTATAGATACTCTATCAGGCCACTCAAGAGGCTAAGGCGGAAGGATGCCTTGAGCCCAGGAGTTTGAGTCTGCAATGAGCTATGATTGCACCACTGCACTCCAGCTCTAGCCTGGGCAACACAGTGAGACTTGATCTCTAAAAAAAAAAAAACATTTTTAGCATTTTTAAAGAATGCAGATATAGATACCCTTCATCAGGTTAGGGAAACCCCCTTCCATTCCTGATTTAGAAGAGTGATTTGAGAATATTATTTTTAAATGTCAATACTTACAATATATGAAAATATCATCCTTTGTAACTACAGAATTTAAAACTTACAATAAAAACCTTTCTATTTCAACTTAAAAATGCAAGGGATCACTTCATCTCATTTTACTAGGTACTTGCTAGATACATGCAGTGATGAGCTACATCTCGTTTGTACCATCTCACTGGTAGCTTGAAGTTTTAAAATTGGCTGTGGTGGGTGTTTTTATACCACAGAAATTAGCAAACACTACAATCACGGTTTTCTCCCTCCCACATTCCCCAGCAGCTGGTTGTTAAACATTTACCGGCACAACGCTGGGTGCAGGGGGAAAAAGAGTTTGAAGATCCTGTAAGTAATATTTACATTCATTCGACAAGCATTCATTGAATATTTACTATGTGCTAGGTAGGCACTGGGAATTAGAGACTTAAGATGCTCACAACCAAGAAGAATGTGCTAAGTGGCAAAGTAGCACTAAAACCAATTTTGAGTTGGCAGGACAGGTTTCAACAGAGCATCAGGAATCAGGGAATGTAACATCAGAATACCATATGAAAAAATCTTTCAACTCACAAATTGATAATCACTCCCCTGTCTAAAAACATTAATGGCTTTCCATTTGCACACAGATAAGTCTAAATTCCTTAGCACAGAGTGTGGCCTCATTTATAATTTAGTCCCCATCTACCACTGCAGATACGATTCCTGAAGTTTCTTGCCAGTACTACTTCAACTACACGCAGTGGGCGCATGACACTTTCCTCCATTCCCTGAATACAACACCATTGCCTTTGTATATTCCATGCCCCCTGCCTACAGGAGCTTCCCCATTTTCTCTACTCAGATTTTCAAGACCTAATTTTTGTTATCTCCTTAGAGAGGTCTTCCCAATCTTCTCAGGGCATTAATTAGCTGTTCCCTCTCTTCCCATACCTACAACACCCTATACATACCTAAATCTATCAGAACCCTTATCTCAATTAATTTTAGCTATTTACAAGTTACTTTCCTGCCCCAGACCATGTCCCTTATGGGGGAGATAGAGTGGATCTATGGTCTGCAAACATTTTCTATAAAAGCTAGATAGTAAATGTTTTCTATTTTGTAAGCCATCATGTGGTCACTGTTGTAACTACTCAACTCTGCTATTGTACAATACACACAGACAATACACATGTGAATGTGTGTCCAAATATGACCCACAGGCTGTAGTTTGCAGACTACAAACCACCAGTGGGGGTTGGGGAGGCGGCAATGTCTAAAGACATTTTTGATTGTCACAACAGAAGGTGGAGTACTATGGCATCTAGTGCATAGAAGCCAAAGACGCTGGTTAACATCCTCCAATTTATAGAACAACCTCCACAAGAATTATCTAGTCCCAAAAGTCAGTAGTGATGAGTTGACAAACCCTGCCCCAGACCATGTTCCTCATGGATAGTGACCTTGTCTTGAGTAACATCTGAAGCTTTCCTATTACAGCTTTAGACTCATTAGTTGTTATTTAATAAATATTTGGGTATATCAATAGTTAAACAATAGAATTTCTAAAAATTTCCAAATTAGACAAATCAAGATCATGATATCCATTGTGGCAGAAGAATCAAAAGCCTTAACCTTTTGCATACTATCTGAACAGTAATATTATGACAGGAATTTTATATTAACAAATATAGTCATGCACACAAATTTAGTTACAAGGATGTTTGCAATGTGTATTGTTTGTAATTGCAAAAAAAAAAAAAGGGGGAAATAAACGAAAAGTCCGACAATAAGAACTTAATAAAGTTTCAGTGAGTGTACACCATGGAATACTAGATGGCATTAAAAAAACTGGACTCTAGACAAGTGATTGTCAATCTGCAGTGAAATCACCTGGGGAGTTTCAAAGAGGACTGATGCCTGAACCCATCCACAGGGACTGTGACTGCATTGTCCTAGGGTGCAGCCTGGGCACCACAAAGTTTAAAAGCTCCCCTAAATGATCCTTTAGCCATGGTTCAGAACCACCGTTCTAGAAGAATGACATAGGAAAAGCTAACTATAAATGACTACGTAAACATGAAAGGTATAAAATATCATGATTTCACTCTTGTCGGATGGATGGATCGATGGAGGGATGAATGGATGAATGACAAACGGATAGATGATGGATGGATGGATGGATGGATGGATGGATGGATGGATGGATGGATGGATGGATGGGGGAGGCACACAAAGGAAAAATATCAAAATCTTATTTGGCCCTAAATAGAAAAAGTACAAGAGAACTGGTATAATTCTGAAGCAAAATTATACTGCTATTCAGAGCAAATAATGTTATAAGTAATTCACACCAACACCCTAGACTCTTAAAGAATTACAAACTAATAGGTCTCTATTTTCTTCTTTTTGTCAAACACATCTTTAATAGTTTTTCTTATTATTATAATAATAATGCATGTTCAGTATAGAAAAACAAGAATCTAAAACTAAGCCAAAAGAAAATAAAAATCTGTCTTAGGTCCCACATACAGAGATAAGCACTACTGACAATCTTTTAGACTTACTTTGTACTTTTTTGTTACTGATTTTACAAAAATGAGGTACTATTATGCATATTTTTTGGAACTAACATGTTTTCACACTTTCATATGTGTCATCAACATCATTTTTATGCAAAAAACACAGAGAAGAATATTTGGACTGTGCTCTAAGCCTACAAATTCTTTTGATCATACGAATAACAACCCAGCATCTTTTCATTCTTGGCAACGATTCAGACTTTTTTTAACCCACTTTTCAGAAAACTTTTTTGGCTTTCCTGGAAATACATTTCAGAATTGAACTACTGTCATCCTTTTCAGAACATGTAGATAAATGAGATGAAAAAAAAGTGAGAGAGAATTTTATTGTGACAAACATAATCTGTAAATATTCAAGATGTCCACTGGCCTGAAAATATAAAAAGACTGTAGAATATTAAACTATAAACCATTTCTAACTCTTCTCTCTTTTTTGGGTTAAGAAATCAACTTCCTTCATTTATTTGTCATTCTACTTAATTTTGGTTTGTTTTTGGGTTTGTTTTGTTTTGTTTTGTTTTGTTTTGTTTTGAGACAGAGTCTCACTCTGTCACCCAAGCTTGGTGGGGTGGCTCGATCTCAGCTCATGCAACTTCCGCTTCCCAGGTTCAAGCAACTTTCCCTGCCTCAGCTTCCCCAGTAGATGGGATTACAGGCGCCTGCCACCATGCCCGGCTAATTTTTGGTGGTGGTTGCTGTTGTTGTTGTTGTTTTTGAGATGGAGTTTCGCTCTTGTCTCCCAAGCTGGAGTGCAGTGGTGCGATCTCGGCTCACTGCAACCTCCACCTCCCGGGTTCAAGCAACTGTCCTGCCTCCTGAGTAGCTGG